ATCTGCTAGAATTCAGCAGTGAATTCATCTGTTCCTGGGCTTTTCTTTATTGTGAGGGACTTATTACTGATTCAATTTCTATCTCAGTTATGGGTCTGTTTAGGTTTTCTATGTTTCTTGGTTTAATTTAGGTAGGTTGCATGTGTCCAGGAATCTATCCATTTCTGATAGATTTCCCTGTTTGCTAGCATAGAAGTCCTTGTAGTAATTTCTGATGATTCTTTTTATTTTTCCTGTGGTGTCTGTTGTTGCATTCCCTTTTTCATCTCTTAATTTGTGTCTTCTCTCTCCTTTTTTTAGTTAGTTGGGCCAATGGGGTGTCAATTTTGTTTAATTTTTCAAAAAAACAGCTCTTTGTTTGATCTTTTGTAATGTTTTTTTGATTCAATCTTGTTGATTTCTTCTCTGATTTTAATTATTTCTCTTCTCCTACTATATTTGGGTCTGGTTTGCTGCAGTTTTTCTGGATCCTTGAGATGCATTAAAAGCTCATTTATTTGGTGCCTTTCCAATTTCTTGATGTAGATACCTATTGCTATAAACTTTCCTCCTAACACTGCTTTTGCTGTATCCCATATGTTTTGGTATGTTGTGTTGTTATCCTTATTTACTTCCAGAAAGTTTTTGATTTCCTTTTTGATTTTTCTATCACCCAGTGTTCATTCAGGAGCATGTTGTTCAGTCTCCATGTGTTTGCATATGCTCTAGGGATTCCTGGGTTGCTAATTTCCAACTTCATTCCATTGTGGTCTGAGAAGCTGCATCGTAGATTCTAATTCTTTTGAATTTGCTGAGAGTTGCTTTATGGCCTAGTATGTGGTCATTCCTAGAGTAGGATCCATGCACTGCTGAGAAGAATGTGTATTCTTTAAGTGTAGTATATAAAGTTTTGTAGATATCTGTTAGATGCATTTGGTCTATAGTGTCGATTAAAACTGCTGTTTCCTTGTTGCTCTTCTGTCTGGTTTATGTCTGTATTGCTAAAAGTGGAGTATTGAATTCCCTCAATACTATTGTATTGGAGTCTTGAGTCTCCCTTTAAGTCCCTTAACATATCTTTTAAATAAACTGGTGCCCTGTAATTAGGGCATATGCCCTAATATGCATATATATGCCCTAAATGCATGTACATTTATAATAGTTATATCTTCCTGTTGAATTGATCCCTTAATCATTATATAGTGCCCCTATTGTCTCTTTTAACAGTTTTTGTGTTAAAGTTTACTTTGTCTGATATTAAGATGGCTGTGCCAGCTTTTTTTTGGTTTCTGTTGGCATGCAATATCTTTTTCCAACCTTTCACTTTCAGTCTGCATGCATCTTTGTTGGAAAGATGTGTTTCTTATAAGCAGCAAATAGATGGGTTTTGGTTTTTAATCCATTCAGTCAGTCTGTGCCTTTTAACTGGAGATTTGAGACCATTAATATTCAATGTGACTATTGATAAGTATCTTTCTAATATATGCTTTGAACTTACTGTGATCTTTTATGGGGAGGTATTCTTCCTTTACCTTCTTTCATATTGATGGCCATGTTTCTGTGTGTAACACATCTTTAAACATCTTTTGCATGGCTGGATGAGTGGTGACAAATTCTTTCAATTTCTGTTTGCTATGAAAGGTCTTTATCTCACCTTCATTCACAAATGATAGCTTTGCAGGATATAATATTCTAGGCTGGCAGTTTTTTCCTCTTAGTACTTGGGCTTATCTCACCATTCTTTCCTAGCCTGTAGTGTTTCTGCTAAGAAGTCAGCTATGAATCCTAATTGGAGATTCTCTGAGAGTGATCTGACATTTCTCTCTTGTACATTTTAGAATCTTTTCTTTATGTTTTACTGTGGTGAGTTTAATTACAGTGTGTCATAGTGAGGATCTCCTTTGGTCATGTTTACTAGGGCTCTATGTGCTTCCTATACTTGGATGTCTCTCTCCTCCAAACCCAGGAAGTTTTCTGCTAGTATCTCACCAAAAAGGCCTTCTAATCCTTTTTCTCTCTCCATGCCTTCAGGAACTCCTAGAACCAGAATGTTGTGTGTGTGTGTTTTTTTTTTTTTTATAATATCCTATAGATTCCCAACAATATTTTTTAGATTTCCAATTTCCTCTTCTCTTCTTTGGTTTGACTCTATACTTTCCAGTGCTCTGTCTTATAAGTCCTATGTTCTCTCTTCTGCTTCACTGATTCTGTTTTTAAGGCTCTAAAATGCATTTGTCATTTGTTCTATTGAATTCATTTTAATTTCTCTTCAAATCACAATTTCATGTTTTTTATAAATTCCTCATTTCATTTTGATTCCTCCTTAGGATTTCATTTTCATGAGAGAGATTTTCTGTCCTGTCCAGTATGGATTTCTATAGTTCATGAGTTTGTTTTTGAGAGCTTCTAAATGTTCTTATCATAAATTTTTTGAAATCCATATTTTGCATTTCTTCTATCTCATCATATTCATAATCTTGTATTGGAGTGTGATGTTCATTAGAGGCATCATAATGTCTTCCTTGTTCTTGTTTCCTCAGTTTCTGTGTTTGTTGTTTGGTATTCTGGAGATATTCTTTGGTTTCTTCTTTTTTTTTCCTCACTGTGGTGGCTTTTCTCATTATACTATGACTCTAGATTAAGTGGACTGTCTGCTTTTGGTGAATCTCTAGAGGCTTATGGTGGATGTGGCCAGAGAGCTCTGTTCAGTTCTTCAAGGTGAAGGGTGTGCCAAAGGTGACACACCCAGGTTTGGTGTGGTAAATCTTCTCTCTCTCTCTCTCTCTCTCTCTCTCTCTCTCTCTCTCTCTCTTATTCCAAAGGGAAGTAATTCTGCTCAGCTGAGCTCTTCTCCTTGATGGCAGTCAGTGCCTGAATGCTAGTCCCAGGGGGTATAATATTCATCTGCTTTGTCCCAAGGATCACACAAAGGATCTGTGCAGTCCTCTGTGTAAGCTCAGATTCCCCTGCAATATCTCCCACTGGATTGCCAAGGTTACCGAGTTTGTGGCATCTCCTACTGAGAGTACTCATGTCTCAGGCACACCGTGAGTTCTCCCACACACCCTCAGTTATTTTTTTTTTTTACAGTCCCAGTTCATAAGCTCTACACATTCACTAGGCCTTAACCTCCTGTTATTTCTCTCCACCAGAGTCAGGTTTTTCTTTTTGGCTGAGGGCAGGCACAGCCCTGAGCTGGCGCAGCTACTATGTATGTCCAAAATGGCGCATGCTGCATTTTTTCCCCCGCCTTTGAGGTGAGTGGAGAGAGAGAATCGTGTCCATAGCGGTCCTTTTTATTTTTTTTTTTTCTCTCTAGTTAGGTTGGTGAACATTCTCCCAGCGGGCTTCAAGCCTCATTCCCTGTAGGCTCTTACTGTCACTTTTCTGCCAGTGCCTTGGGCTACTGCGGTTTCGCCTCACCTCCCTTTCCAGCACTGGTGCGTAGACTCAGCAGCTGGAGTAACGAGTAGTGGGTGCCTGTGCCCTCCACGTAGGTCCACCGTCTCCCACTAGTTCTGGAAGAGTTTCCTCTGCAGTTTTTTTCCCTAACTCTTTCCTGAGACTACAGTATCTCCAATTTTATTAAAATATCTTTTCCCAGACTATCACTCCCTCCCTATTCTGCCATCTTGGAGCTCCTCCTGTCAAGTTCATTTCTACCTACTTTAATTTTAGCTGTTACCATAAATAATAACTTAAAATTAGGTTTTCTCATTGTGTGTTAATGGGTATATAGGAAGTTCATGGGGCATTCAAATTATGAAAAATTATGTATATATTTCATTTTTTGCAACAAACCAAACTTAACCTTTTAATTCTATTTTCCATGAATTTTTTAAAGCGTTCATTTACAGGCTAAGCTCTTCAGTAGATTCTTGAATGTGAGCATACATATTCTTACTTTGTTCTTGATTCTAAAGGAAAAACTCTTCATTTGCCACTATTAGGGATGTTATTTTCCCCAGAATTTGGCATAGATATTTTTTTTTTTTTAATTTTTGACAGGCAGAGTGGACAGTGAGAGAGAGAGACAGAGAAAGAAAGGTCTTCCTTTGCCGTTGGTTCACCCTCCAATGGCCGCCGCTGCAGCCGGCGCACCGCGCTGATCCGATGGCAGGAGCCAGGATCCAGGTGCTTTTCCTGGTCTCCCATGGGGTGCAGGGCCCAAGCACCTGGGCCATCCTCCACTGCACTCCCTGGCCATAGCAGAGAGCTGGCCTGGAAGAGGGGCAACCGGGACAGAATCTGGCGCCCCAACCGGGACTAGAACCCGGTGTGCCGGCGCCACAAGGTGGAGGATTAGCCTATTGAGCCACGGCGCCGGCGGCATAGATATTTTTTATCAGACTGAGGTAATTTCATTCTATACCTGATTTCTGTCACAGGTTAGATTTTAACAAGTGCCTGAAATATATTTTATGTATTTGTTTTGCATCAATTGAAATGATTTTATTTTTTTTCTCTGTAAATCTGTCAGTATGATCTCCTATAGTGATTGATTTGGCAACTAAAGTTTTTAATTCTTAAAGTAATCCAACATTATCATGATGTATTATTTTGGATAGTGTGGGATTTAATTGGTTAATATTTTGTATGGGTTTATTACAATTATTTTCACATTGTTAGATAAGTATCTATGTATCTCTCTTTGTATATTTTCTACTATAATCATTGTCTCATTTCCTTGAGTTTCCTTCCACATATGAAGATTAGTTAATTGTCCTAACCATTCCTTCTGATGCACTTGAACCATTCTTGTCTCTGAGTAAATATATTTCCATAAACAAAGTCAGGGCCATCTTCTTAATCACCCTAATGAAGAATTCTTGGCCTCCACAGGTGTGAAAAAGTACTAAATTTGGATTTGTATTTTAGCTGGAGTCATGTTTTCTCCTTACACTATGTGATCTTAAATTATCTACCATCTATTTCTGCCAGTTTCCAAATTTAACACACTGATTTACTGACCTCTTTCTTTTTTGCTCTATTTCATATATTTACTTTGTCACTTCCAACAGCTTGATTTTGAATTGGTGGAGACGCCGAAAATCTCGCACCAACTCAGAAAAACTATACAGCCGATGGGAGCAAGATCATGACCTTGAAAGTTTTGGCCACCTTGGGTTATTCTATGAATACTTAGAAACAGGTAATTTTTTTAAAGATTTATTTATTTATTTGAAAGTCAAGAGTTACACAGAAAGAGAAGGAGAGGCGGAGAGAAAGAGGTCTTCCCATCCACTAGTTCACTCCCCAGTTGGCCGCAACAGCTGGAGCTGATTCAATCCAAAGCCAGGAGCCAAGGAGCCTCCTCCAGGTCTCCTACGAGAGTGCAGGGGCCCAAGAATTTGAGCCATCTTATTCTGCTTTCCCAGGCCATAGAAGAGAGCTGGATCAGAAGTAGAGCAGCCAGAACTTGAACTGGTGCCCATATGGAATGCCAGTACTGCAGGCAGTGGCTTTATCCACTATGCCACAGCGGCATCCCCAAAAACAAATAACTTTTAATCACTGTTCTGAAATGTTGGGTAAGCCTGAATAAAACAAGTATTTTTTTAGCTTTTAATATTTCTTTCTGCCTTGTATGTAACAGGTCAACAATAACTTTAGATGATAGGTTAGAAAATGGATGGGTTGATATGGAGATTGGCTCACAGTTTCCCTGTTCTACAAATTGGAATACAGAACAAAATTTATCCCAAAGTACCAGTAATAGAGGTTTTTTCCTATAACTTGTATGTTGTTGAACCAAATCAAATACAAATCTCTTTTTAACATCTTCCTCTAATCAACATGAGTGGTAATTTTTCTTTTTACTTGCCTTAGTAACAGCTAAAAGGATAAACTGAAAACCATTTTCAGGGTCTGTCATGCATGAAATGTATATCCTTTATTTCCAACCAAAAAGAAGGCTAAAAGTGGTAATACAATGGTACTTTTAAAAGTTGACAAAGTAGCAGATGTTTGGCCTAACAGTTCAGAACTGGTTAAGACACCCAAATCCAACATTGGAGTGCCCTGGTTCAAGTCTTTGCTCAAGCTCCTGATTTCAGCTCCTTGATAACACAGACTTGGGAGGGCAGCAGTGATGGCTAAAATAGTTAGGTTCTTGCCATTCACATTAGTGATCTAGACTGAGTTCCTGGCTCCTGCCTTCTCTCCTCCCACCACTGGTAATTTAGGCAGTGAACCAGTAGATAGGAGAGTTTCTCTCTTTCTTACTCTCTTTCTCTTTTCTCTCCTACCACCCATCTACCTCTCCAATTTTAAAAAGTTAATGGAAAATGGCATTGAAAAATAACATATTGGTACAAAAATTAAAATCCATGCAGGATTTTTTTATGATACACATTTCCCATGTACTTTTTAACACCCACTGTATGCATGGATTTCAATGTTTTTTAAGAAAATTAGATTTAAATATTAGTTCCAATGAACTTCTTGAAGGAGACCCAAACTGAACACAAGAAATGCATAAAATAGTCTAAGGATTTAACAGCGAAGACACCTTGAGGTAAAATTTGAGGACTGATGATGCTGGGAGCTGACCATGCTTTTGCTCAGAGTGTTTCCTCTTAAGCAACTCTCTCTACTTTTCTGGTGAAATTATGGAAGACAGTTTTCTTAACTTGCTCTCTTAAGGCCCATAAAATTGTGATGAGTGTACCCTTCTTTCCCTTCCACTATAATGAGTTTTTCATGCTTTTCTCTCTCTCTCTCTCTCTCTCTCCAGTTATCCAGTTTGGATTTGTCACACTATTTGTGGCTTCTTTTACTTTGGCTCCTCTTCTTGCTCTTATGAATAATATTATAGCAATCCGAGTAGATGCCTGGAAGCTTACTACTCAGTACAGGAGACCTGTAGCTGCTAAAGCTCATAGCATAGGTGTTTGGCAAGATATTCTATTTGGAATGGCTGTTCTTTCTGTTGCAACTAATGTAAGTGAACCTATTTCAGTTGAGTGACTATTTTATTTTATTTTGTTTCCTTTGGAATTGGGAGATGTGAATTATACTTAACTCAGTCTTTATTTATGATGATTTCATCATGGTGTTAGTACTTGAAGATAAAACATTCCTAAATTTTTTATGCACTAAGTAATAAAGAAAAAATTACTACATGTGAAAACTGAGAAACAAAAAAATCACTTATTAAAATTTCATAACAGTTTCATAGTATGTGACAAGCTAAACAGGAAGTAACTGTTTGAATATTTGAATAATATAGCCTGATTGATTATGCATGAATTTATATATAACAAATAAAAAACATATGAAGATATTTCAAAATCTTTGTTGAAATACAATTTAAAAGTAAGTTTATCTTGACGCCAAAAGGGTTTGCAATGTATGCATAGTTTTTTGATAATATATATTATCTGTGAACTTTTTGAAGATCCCACATTCTCATGGATTTCAATTCTTTTTGCACTAAAATAAACTTATCTTTTAATTCTATTTTTTCTTTTTTTCTTTTATTTTTTTTAAAGGTTTATTTTATTCATTTGAAAGACACAGTTAAAGAGAGAGGTAGAGACAGAGAGAGAGGTCTTCCACCCGCTGTTTTACTCCCCAGATGGCCGCAAAGGCCGGAGCTGAGCCAATCCGAAGCCAGGAGCTAGAAGCTTCTTCCAGGTCTCCCATGTGGGTGCAGGGGCCCAAGCACTTGGACCATCTTCTGCTGCATTCCCAGGCCATAGCAGAGGCTGAACTGGAAGAGAAGCAGCCAGGACTAGAACTGGCACCCATATGGGATGCCAGTGCTTCAGGCCAGGGCTTTAACCCACTGCACCACAGCACTGGCCTCAATCTATTTTTTTCTTAAACTTTATGAAGATAAATTATAAGGCCAAATTCCCCAAAGTAGAAACTTTAAAGTGCATATTCTCCTATAAACTTGCTTTAAATATTAAAGCTGACAATAAAATAATCAAAAAATGTAACTATATAGCATTAAAACTTCTCAGTAAAATTCGTATAGAAAAGAGGAAGCAGAATTAAAATTAAGCAGTTTAATTAAAATGACTATATAAATTAACTAAAATTACAATTATAGAAAAATCCATACAATGAGTTTACTAAAACAAAAAAATAAAACTTGAAAATACAGGCCAGACATCTGACACTAAAGAAAACAATGTAAAAAAATAGAAAAGAATAAAAAAGAATAAAGATATAAATAATCATTAGAAACCAACAAAAAGTCATATAATTAGTAAGTCAAAAGTTAGTTAGAAAGCAAAATAAGCAGGACTTTGGAGAAAATTAAGAGACTACTGTGTGCCTCTTTGTTGCAATAAATTTTAAAATTTATTTAAAGTCACTTTTTTGGAAACAAATATAAATTTATTCAATTAGCGACAGAAAACATTAATAAATGTGAAGCCATAGAAGAAACTAAATATTTTTTTAAAAAAATCTACTACTAAGATGTAGATGTCATAGTCAGATGATTTTAAATGAACTTATGTAACCTAAAAGAAACATGCTGTTCATACTATTCCAGAGCTTAGGAAATACTGTTTCTGTGGAATCAAATATTGGAATTAACTGTACCGAACTGTGATTAGTTTACCAGCTCATGGTCTTCTATCTCCATTTTTTTTTCCTGTCTACCTTACACACACATGCACACAGACTCCTGGGTTATTGATTTGGTACACATAAATGAATTTGGCTAAGAACAGTGAAACTATGCAATGAAACCATAAGAAATAAGAAGGCATTGTGGAAAAAGCATGATTGTTGGAGACAGATAGATTTAGGGTCCATTCTCAGTCACTTTGCAAATATGAAATTTGAAGATACTAGTTACACAATATAAACGAATTATATCATGTTTTAGGCTGAAGACTCATATCAGTATGACAAATTTATGAGTATATAATAATTCTGCACACATGTGGCTCATGGGACTGAATGATACAAAAAAGACATTAACTAGATTGGCAGCTCATGGTTTCCTCTTGCTTTATTTTTCAGGCTTTCATTGTTGCATTTACGTCGGACATCATTCCCCGTGTTGTCTACCACTATGCTTATTCAATAAATATCACTCATCCTTTACAAGGATATGTCAATAACAGTTTGTCCATATTCCTGACAGCTGATTTCCCAAATCACACTTTACCTGTGGATAAACGAGACTTCACCACTTGCAGGTTTAATTTTCTTTGTCTAGATTTTACATCCAGGATTTACTTGAGATTACAAAAATTCTGGGTAAATAAAATACATGAGTTCATGAGTTTGTGCAGTGCATGATTCTAATTTGGAAAGGGAAAGGACGAATGTCATAATGGGAAAGATAAAACAATCCAAAATTAAAAGATGTTATTAAAAATCATATTAATTTTGAATTGTATCTGTTTCTACATTTGAAGATTTCTTACTGACAAATGTTCCTTGTTCTAAAGTTCTGAGATCTGTAGGTCAAAGAAAATCATAATAATAAATGTACATTTAACTTACTTGAATTTTGCTTTATATCATCAGTAAAGAAAGTAACAAAGAGAAAAAATACAATAGTATGATCAAATACTGGCCACCCCATTTAAAGGTTTTTTTCTGTGTAGAGAATGAAATTTAAAATATCAGTCTGTTCCCACTCCCACATTCAATATAGCTAGGTCTGTCTAGTTGATACTATAGCTAACTTTTGCCTTTACCTCCATTTTTTTCAGGTATAGAGATTACAGACATCCCCCTGATCACACAGATAAATATCTTCATAATAAGCAATTCTGGCATGTCCTTGCTGCCAAGATGACCTTCATCATACTTATGGAAGTAAGGTGTTCTTAATATTTTTTTTTGGCTACTCTCTCTCCTTCCATTAGGCAGTGATTTCTGAAGGTATCTGCTCATTAGAAAGTTAGCATTATCTCAACAAGTTGTTTTGTAGGAAATATTTCTTGTCATAAAAGGCAAGTTATAAATGTTTTGAGTACACTGGGTTGCCAATGAATCACTTCTATTTTTTTTAACCTAGAAACCTTTTATTTAAGGCACACAAACTTCATGCATATCACATATGCATGAGAAAAGAGAGTGAAGAGTTCAACAAATAGTATGAAGAAAAAAAATTATTCCTCGACAGTCGAGACAGACTCTTCAAAATCATCATATCTCAAAGTGTCAATCTTACTTCTATATATTATTTTTTAGGTGCTCTATTAGTTACCACAGATCAGGGAGAACGTATAGTATTTGTCTTTTTGGGACTGGCTTATTTAACTAAATGTCATGTTTTCCAGTTCCATCCATTTTGTTGCAACTGACAGGATTTCAATTTTTTTTCACAACAGTGTAGTAGTCCCTGGTGTGCATATACCATTATTTATTTATCCATTTTTCAGTTGAGAGACATTTGTATTGATTTCATATCTTAGCTATTGTGAATTGAGCTGCAATAAAAATGGGGGTACAGATCACTCTTTCATATGCTGATTTCATTTCCACTGGGTAAATTCCCAGAAGTGAGATAACTGGATCATATAAGTGTATAGGTAGATTTCTGAATATCTCCATACTGTCTTCTACAGTGGTTATGCCAGTTTACTTTCTCACCAACAGTGGATTAGGGTATCTTTTTCCCACATGCTCATAAGCATTTGTTGTTTGTTGATTTCTGTATGAAAGCCATTGTAACTGGGGTGAGGTGAAACCTCATTGTGGTTTTTATTTACATTCCCCTGATGTCTAGTGATTCTGAGCATTTTTTCATGTGTCTGTTTGCTATTTAAATTTCCTCTTTTGAAAAATACCTGTTTGGATGAGATGAAAATGAGGAGGTTTTTCCTTACTGTATAAATGAATATTTGTATGATTAAATTAATACACACAAAAAAAGAAAAATACCTGTTCAAGTCATTTGCCCATTTCTTGACTGAATTATTCATTTTGTTGTTGTTGATTTTCTTGAGCTCTTTATAGAATGAATCACTTCTATTGCTAAATATACTATCAGGTCAGAAAAGGAAGTGAAAACCACAGCCTCTTCCCTTAATGGCATGAAAAGGGAAGATAATCCACTGATTTTTCAGAATACTTACTATGTACTAGTTCTAGAGGCTGTTTTAAGTCACAACAACTTTGTAAATTAGAATTTGGTACTCACCATTGATAAATCATTTTTTAAAAGATTTAATTATTTATTTGAAATGCAGAGTTACAGAGGGAGAGGGCGAGAGACAAAGAGAGGTCTTCCATCTGCTGGTTCACTCCTCAAATGGCTGCATGGTCAAGGCTGGGCCAGACTGAAGCAAGGAGCCAGGAACTTCATCTGGGTTTCCCATGTGGATGAGAGTGGGTGCAGGGGCCCAAGAACCTGAGCCATATTCTAATGCTTTCCCAGACACATTAGCAAGGGAGCTATAGTGGAAGTAGAACAGCCACGACTCAAACCAGCATGCATATATGATACTGGCACTGCAGGCAGCAGCTTATCCCACTATGCCACAGCACCAGACCCAACAAATGAATTTGAGACCAGGTGAAAACAGGAGTTGAATTAAGGTTCATCAGCCAATATTAAAGCTGGGTTGTAATCCAGATGTGGCTCACTACCAAGGTTAGGCTTTTATCAGCTGTGTTTTGGTACCTCTCTTGTATAATATCTGGTATAAATATGGACAAAAGGTATGCCTGAAAAAGTAACCAATATGGAGAGGTATTTGACTAAGTTTCAAATGGATAGCCACAAATCATGACAGGAATACCAGTAAGGGAGATAAAATAAGATGGTACCTGTTCATCCCTCCAGAAAACCCAATATCTGACAATTCTAACCCAAGCACATACAGTTCCAGTTGATTTCTCTTTAATGTTTTTGTTTTTATCTGGATTATACATGTTACCTTAAAAACCATAATTCTACATGGCTGCAAATGAGAGCATAATTCTTCTCCCCTCAAATGCTAATCTGCAAAGGCAAAAATTTCAACTCATTCTTCTGTGGGTAATCTTTGGGGCAAAAAAAATCCTCATGTGGCTATTTCTTTTTTACTTTTAGACATTAATTATTGACCTCCTACTATGACAGATCTCCTATACCCTATGGGCACACAAATACACACAGAAATTTTAGCCTTCTCCTTCTTCTCAATTTAATTATATTTTTTTTTTGTCTAGATAGGTCTGTAATTTCTTATTCTGAAAACCAAAACCGCAAAAAACAAAGTACTTTGGTAACTAATTTAGCAATAATATCTGAATGATTATTTAAAGCAATTTTTAGCCTTTATTCTCTTTAGAATGACATTATTAAGTATTTGTTTGACAAATAGTGCCACCAAAGACATTTTTATATATCATTTATGTCCGAAACTATGTATTTCAATATTTACTCACTCTCGATTCTGAAATATTTTTGCCCATCAGAGTTTTGAATAAGAGATTTTAGGTAAGCAGCAATTTTCAGAGTTTATAAATTAACCCTGAGTGTTAGTTATATCTCTTTCATGTTTTATACTTTGAATACATTTCCCTTATTATAACTTTTCCCTCTCTCTCTTTGTCCTTATTTTAGCTATTTATGAATTTATCTTTCTTGCATCCTCACATTTTCCATCCTTCTTTCACTCCAGTAAATTGTATTAGGATTTCTTTTCATTTTTCTTTACTTACTATTCATACCAATTTTTGAAATTAGACCAAGCTCCATCCTACAATTGTCCTGGGACTCTTCTTAATCTTGCCTTCTGTTGAATTCTGTAATTCCTGGTATATGTGTGGTTTTTTTAACTAGCTTATTTTAATGAAGCACATCTTTTAGTAATTTTCTGAGAAAAAAATTATGATCAAATATTGAGATCTTAAATGTTGAAAATTTCTTCTTTTGCTTATTTTTAATTATTTGGTATAGAATTCAAGACAAATTTATTTCTCTTGGAAATGTTTCTGTCAACTTTATTTAGGTGTTTCTGAAATTTTTGAAGGCATTTTTCCTTTTCTTTATGTTTCTAGCATTGCTGTAAAAATGCTACACTATTCTGATTCTCCAGTCTTTGTTTATTATATTTTTTAAAAAAATCAGTAAGTTGGGGCCGACACTGTGGCCAAGCAGGTAAAGCTACTGCCTGCAGTGCTGGCATTCCATATGGGCACTGGTTCAAGACCCAGCTGCTCCACCTCTGATCCAGCTCCCTGGTGTTGGCCTGGGGAAAGCAGCAAAAGATGGTTCAGGTGTTTGGGCCCCTGCTACCCTCAGGAGAGAACAGGAAGAAGCTCCTGTCTCTTGGATTTGGCCAAGCCCAGCGCTGGCTGTTGTGACCATCTGGGGAGTGAACCAGTGAATGGAAGATATCTCTCTCTCTCCCTCAACTCTGACTTTCAAATAAATGAATAAATCTTTAAAAAATCATTAAACTTTGAGGATTCTCTCACCTTTCTTGCTTTTATGAAACTTCATAGGATAGTTCCTTGCTAGTCAACAAGTTATTGACTGTTTTGGACCCCCACTGAATCTCTTCCTTGCCCTTGTAACTTCTGTGTCACAGCACAGTTTATTGAATAAGTGAAGTGATTAGGAGGGATGTTCTACTGATCATTCTAATTGTGTCTCTAATTTTCCTTTACATTCTCTCTAGCACATTGTATTTTTGTTTAAATTTTTATTGGCCTGGATGATACCTGATGTTCCAAAAGACGTTGTGGATAGAATCAAGCGAGAAAAATTAATGACTGTCAAGATTCTCCATGAATTTGAGCTCAACAAATTAAGAGAGGACTTGGGAGTCCAGCCTAGTGAACTTCAGAAGCATGTGATGATTGAGGCAAACAAAGCAAAACAGGCTAAAAGAACAATCTAATCAACCTAATGAGCAAGCAACTGAGTGGCTGTCTCACTTCACTCTTTTTCCCTAGGATTAGAGCTAGAGACCAGAAGCCCCTCTTTTTTCACTCAAGGTTTATATATATATATATATACTTTTATATATATACTTTTAGAGGCCAACTTGTTGATGTCTGAAGAGTATCACTCTCTGCATCTTGACTGGGCCCTCCCTGGGTATTGCTGTCTGAGGTCCTATAAATGATTGCTGAAAGTGCATGTAGAATCACAATTTTGGAAAATCATGGAGTGTTGCAGATTAGAATGAAGCACTGGACATGGGCTGTTCCATCAACTTTCCAGTCCTCTGCACATTTTTGTGGTCTTCTATTGGGTAGCTTTATATCTATTTCCCATCAAGAAAAATGTTGGGACAAAAAGAAAAGGAGCAAAGAGACCTTCTGAGCCATTCATATCCTGTCATTTTAAAAATATGCAAATGGAAAACCACAATCAGATGACTTAAGAGAACTCATCTCTTAAAAAATATGGGATAAATAGCAGGGAAATTGTTCCTGAAATTGTCCTGTGTGAGTTAAAATTCCATCCGAATTCCAGATAGTCCTTCCAGGTAAATACAGAATTCATTTTTTCAGGAGACTAAATTTGTGAGTTTCAGGAAAAGACTAAATGCTCAGTTCTTAAAGACGGTATTTCAGTAACAGTATTTTCAAAACTGTTTATTGTGTTAATCTGGAAAACACATTAGTGAGGTGTTAAATTGCTTCAAATCTTCAGGTAAATGAAAGATAGTCTAGAGAAGTAAATATGTTTTCTTAGTAGTTAAAGAATGCAATGCAATGTATAGGAATTAATTTGTTGACCTTAATTTAGAAAATTGAATTATTTTTTAAAATCATTTTTCTTCTGGAATGCCTGTTTTGCATCATGAAGTCTCTCTGAGCAATACATATTTGTATACCTTAGGTTTAAGTAATTTATGAAATGTGATCACTTTGCTTTAAAACAATCCCAGATCTTTTAATGAATTTACAATATATTTTCTACTGATGTGTCACCTTATATGTTTCTTAGTGCCTTCTTTTTATGCCAAACTTACTTGAAGTCATATTATTGGCTGTTGATTTGATGTTATGTAACATCTCAAATGAAAGCTTCTTTAGAGCATTTGTTGATAACAAAAACTGCAGAGTTTAACTCCAAAGTAGAATGAATTAGTAAGAATTAGGTGAAGGACTTACAGCTAAGTGAAAAAAAATGTGTTTATTTAATAATTACACTCAAATTTCAGCGTGTGTGCTGGTATATTAGTTCTTATTATTTTACATAAAAATTGTATGTATGTATGTATGTGTGTGTGTGTGTATGTGCATTATAGTGGCTGAATCTGGTTTCAAATTACACTTCATTTCTAAAACAATAGTGTTTTTCAATCACACACAGAATAGAAAGCTTAGTTATTTTAAAAGTGATATTTATCTAATACTAATAAAATTTTATGGCCCTTACAGTATTAAATATATGGCAGGTGGTATTAAGCACTGATCAGAATTAAACATTTGGAACTGAGGATTATGGATTTTATAAAACTATGAGACAGTTACCTCAGCATTGGCAGTACTGATTTGTCATCCACTGGGTAGATTTTATGAATACTTTTGAATAATTTGATGTGAACATAAAATAGAAAAATCATTTCATATGTGAAGGAGATTTATTTCATCCTGGAGAAAACCAGTCATCATTACCATGAAATAAACCACAAAGTGTATTTGACTCTGCATTATTAAGATATTGTACATTATGTACAGCTCATATTGCTTACTTCCTAGGTGCTAAAAAAATAAAGAAGAGTATAGAAATTGGTTTCTTGGAGATAAGCCTTAATTTTTGTGGCTTACAGGTATCTACAGTGCTAGATTAAAAGATAAATAAAGACAAATTTAACTCTTAAGTTTTTTTACTCTGCACTTTACAAACAAACCAACTCAAGTGTTAGCCTTCTAGAATGTATAGAAAACCGAACAATAGAGGAAATGGTTTTGAAGATAAGTAATTCTTAATGAGTGATGGATATTTTACTTCTAATATGTTGACAAATACTTTGTATTCACCTTTCAATTTCCTACTGAGCAGTTTCACTTTACTTCACAGATTTTAAAAAGAAATAGAGGTACCACTTTCCTGATATCCCGCTAACCAAGATTGGAAGCCAAGCCAATTCAAATAAATTTTTCTCATCTAATTAAACTCATTGGTTATTAAGGGAGGGCTGAATTAAGAGCACTTGACAACCAAGTTTAAGTTGGTATTTGCCACACAGCAGGTATTTTTATTTTCCAGTCTAACTCATAGTTATTTTTTCCATAAGTGTTTTAGAGAATATTTGAGATCTTACTGGAAATAAAATGTTTTAAGTACTAAAGCAAAAAACTACATAACTCTTTTCAGAGTTCTCTCTCAATCACACCTTTCATCAGATTTTCTTTGCATTTAAGAAGCAGAATTCACTTCAAAACATTCATTTTAGAAGACTCTCCATCAAGAAGGAAGTGTGTCTTAATGAAATGAAATGCTGTCTCATTTTTGCTTCATTGCATGACTGCTCCTGGTTTTAACACTCTTCTTTCAACCAAAGCTTTAAGCAAGTTGGCAAAGAGAAGATGCAGAACATTAAGAAAAATGAAAGAGAAAGAGAAAAGAGTTCATTCCTTATGATTCTTCTGTGTGTTTCTATGGGAGAAAGAGCTGCTATGAGGAGTTTTAGTGCAACTGGATTGTGAGGGTCACATTTCTTCTCCAATCTACATAACAAGGATGAGAAAAAAGCTAGAGAAATTTCAGGTTATACTCTATTATGTGTCAAAAATAAAATTTTTATTCCAACAATATTTTGTAGTCTCAGGTGCTGTGAGTAGACAAGGACTCTGGTGATTTACTCCACAAAGAGAAACTATTTGGAAAGAATTTCCTGTATTTGTTTTATATTGGTAATAGTTAATTGCGTAAATGAAGAATGCTATTAGATAACATAGAATTGCAAGAAGTACCATTGGCTAGGCTTAAAAGTCTGCTACAATGAATCACTATGTCTATGTTATTCTTTTTCTATGTGAATTTTTACTCTTCAGCCATTGTGTATAACAAATTGAATATTTCAATTATTCCATCATTATGTAAAAATCAATGAGAATGTTAAAAAGAGTAGTGTAGTTTAATTTGTGTGAGATTCCTGCTTGCATCTCCCTGGAATGTTTTGACAAGGTGTGACTCTCCTATGCATGAGATTATGTGTTCTGGTTTTAACTTAAAAAATAAGTGCTCATTTTTTCTTTTCTGTATTTCTTCAAAAAACTTTTAAGGGGAAAGGGTTATACAGGTATATAGGGAAAGTTGTCTTATTAGCTTGTACATAAATCTCAAGGGATTCAAACCACTCAGTGAATAAAGTAATAATTAAATTACTCTTTGACATAAACTTAATTTCTTCTTAGAGTAAAATGATATAATTTTTCTGAGTTTGAATGCTGATAAGAAATGTTTTAGGTCATTATTTGTTGTTTAAAAGCATTAAGTTGCACATGTATAACATATTTAGCTCATGAAAGTATATGTTCAACACACTTGGAGATGCAAATTCCTTTAATTGAGAGGCAGAATAGTCTAGAAAATTGGAGAATTTGGTAGTTTTTGCTTGTCTCTTTATTTCTTCTACTTTGGAAGATAATGGTGAACAGGAGAACCAAGAGAACAAACAGCATGTTGAAATAGGTTCCAATTATTTACTACTACAATTTTCCCCAAAAAGAAGTCTGCAGTCAGCTTTGTCAGAATTGTCTCCAGGCTGTCCATATCCTCCAACCCTATCATAGAGCTCTAGAAACAGAGTCTCTGGGAGAGAAGTTTCTGTGAATTTCCAGGGTTATTTTTTGGGGATATAGGAGTAATAAGAGTGATAAAATACCAAATTGCCTAGCTGAAAGTATTTTTGTGGTGTCTCAAATATTTATTTATCATTCCATCCTAGGGAAGTATGTCAAGTCATGAAAAGTGGATATTTTCAAATATGTAGGATTGTGCTAATCCCATGGTATGTAGATTTGAATCCTGTATTCCGAAAGTAAGACTTTTTAGGTTGTAGATATAAAAAAGAATAAAGATTAGATTAAATATATTTTGTTTTGCAAACATGTGCAAGAAAAGTACAGACTGGCCAGATGCTACAATGTGAATACATCACATTCTAAATATTTATTAGAAGAAATTGATTATCTTAACAGGATTTAATACTGATTATCTTAACAGGATTTAATAGCTGTGAAAATTATATAGAAGGAAGTCTGTTATATGACATAAGTAGGTGTTTTGAAAGTGTGAAAGGAACTAGGAGTATCAGTCTGAAAGGAAGAGTTGGGAGGTCAGAGAAAGGGCACTATTGAACTCTTCTGAAACACTGCCATAACTAGACAGATTAGATGTTGCAGGAATATCCTGGTGCTGAAGTGGGACGAAATAAAAGCTAATGAAGAACTCTTTGAAATAGTGTTGTTTCTGTGCAGTTACTATTTCTTTGAATCTGTAGCAAGCTTCACTCATGAGCTTTTGGCCAGCTATTAGTTGAGCTGGATATGGAGTAGAACAGATAAGGAAAGACCAGGATCCATTAGAAACCTTTTTTGTATGGCTTTTACCATATATATCCTAGAAATCTTTTTTTTTAATATTTCTCCATTTTGAAAGAGTTATCACAGAGAGAGAGACAGGCAGAGAGAGAGAGGGAGAGAGAAAGAAATTTTCCATCTGCTGTTCAGCTGGCCATGATGGCCTGGGCTGGACCATGACTAAGCCAGGATCAAGAAACTTCATCAGATCTCCCACATGGGTAGCAGGGGCCCTAGACTTCTGCTGCTTTTCCCACATCATTAGCAAGGAGCTGGATTGTTTGTTTGTTTGTTTTTTGTTTGTTTGCTTGTTTTTGACAGGCAGAGTGGACAGTGAGAGAGAGAGACAGAGAGAAAGGTCTTCTTTGCCATTGGTTCACCCTCCAATGGCCGTCGCAGCCAGTACTTCTCCTGGTCTCCCATGGGATGCGGGGCTCAAGTACTTAGGCCATCCTCCACTGCACTCCCTGACCACAGCAGAGAGCTGGTCTGGAAGAGGGGCAACCGGGACAGAATCCGGCACCCCGACTGGACTAGAACCTAGTGTGCCGGCGCCACAAGGTGGAGGATTAGCCTAGTGAGCCGCAGTGCCCGCCGAGCAAGGAGCTGGATTGGAAGCAAAGCAGCTGAGACATGAACTGGAGCCAATATGGGATGCCAGTGTTGCAGATGGCAGCTTTACCTGCTGTGCCACAACACTAGCCCCTATCTTCAAAATCTTCAGGAAGAAATTTCTGGTGCCTCTTTCACAAATCTAATATGACATTGGTTAAGGAATATATTCTGCAAAATGTAGCTCCTTAGCTTCACTAAGTTGACAAAGAAAAAACTATCATGTAAACCTAAAAAGTAAGGCTAGTGACCTTTTGAAGAACACAATCCACAAAGTATGCTCAACTTACCTTCAAATAACTTTGCACTCAATAACTGAAGAAGTACATGTTAAACATTTACAAAATGTAATCAAATACCAGGCCATAAAAAAGCAAGTAAACAAAAACCCCCAGTTAATTTCAAATAACTGATATTACCAAGATAATTTCCCTGTTGACAATAACATGGAATATTAAAAGTAATAAGATAATTAGGAAGATTTTATAACCAATTTTGAAATCATTTATGTATCAAAAAATAATCTCAAATTTGGTGTTTTGGTAGCAGGAAAAGCCACCGCTTGCATTGCCAGCATCCCATATGGGTTCTGGTACTTGTCCCAGCTGCTCCTCCAGTCCAGCTCCCTGTTAATGGCTTGGGAAAAGCAGTGGAACATGATCCAAGTTCTTAGGCCCTTGTCACACATGTGAAAGACCTGCATGAAGCTCCTGGCTCATGGCTTTGTCCTGGCCCAGCCCCAGCCACTTCAGGGAAGTGTATTTTGGGAGTGAATCAGCAGGTGAAAGATCTCTCTATATCTGTCCCTCCTTCTCTTTCTCTCTCTTTCTAATAAAAAAATGTTAAATATATATATTCTGGGGCCAGCAGTGTAGCATGGCTCAGTGTGTTAAGCCACCACTGACAAGTCTAGCCTCCCGTATTCAAGC